ACAAACAGAAAAGTGTTAAAATTGCAAAGAAATGTAAGATACATGCACAGTACTTGGAACTGCATATTCATCTATTGAATACTAGTTTTCAGCAATTTGTACTGGTACATGTACATATGAAATACATGTTTTGCGTTCATCTTGAATCTGAAATGTACCGTGGCCGACAAGTACAAAATTTTACACCGCAACTTTTGGTGTTTTACACCGCAACTTTTGGTGTTTTACACTGCAACTTTTGGTGTTTTACACTGCAACTTTTTCTGTGTTTTACACTGCAACTTTTGCTGTGTTTTACACGGCAACTTTTGCTGTGTTTTACACTGCAACTTTTGGTGTTTTACACTGCAACTTTTGGTGTTTTACACTGCAACTTTTGCTGTGTTTTATACTGCAACTTTTGCTGTGTGGAAAACTTACACCCCTCCCCTTTTATAATGGACGGTCCCCCTGTCAGGTCAAAGGTGACAAAGATGGCGGCAGCAAGTCACAAGCTGACGTCTAGGGACATTAAAATGAAGAAAAACGATGTCCATACCCAATAATAATGAACTAACCTGCAGAAAATTTATGTCATTGCTGTTGATGTCTGGAGCTGGATATCTGACGTCCTTGATAAATTTGTTGTGACGCATGGCAGCAAAAAGCAACATAATTTGTAATCACTGGACCTGGTCGAAACATTTTTAAATTTATCCCGGTCTATAGGCCAAAGCTAGAAAAACCTTTAGAAAAAAACTAACGTCACAACGTAGCCAAGCTTTTCCTCTAAAAAACTTATGCACGAAAAGGATAACTCAGTCGTCGTAGTTTGCATGCCATCGTTGTCACCTTTGACCTGACAGGGGGACCGTCCATTATAAAATGGGAGGGGTGTAAGTTTTCCACACAGCAAAAGTTGCAGTGTATAAAACACAGCAAAAGTTGCAGTGTAAAACACAGCAAAAGTTGCAGTGTAAAACACCAAAAGTTGCAGTGTAAAACACAGCAAAAGTTGCAGTGTAAAACACAGCAAAAGTTGCAGTGTAAAACACCCAAAGTTGCAGCGTAAAACACCAAAAGTTGCAGTGTAAAACACCAAAAGTTGCGGTGTAAAACACCAAAAGTTGCGGTGTAAAATTTTGTTCTTGTCGGCCACGGTATATATCAAATGGCCTTTGCATGTACCTCTGGTTGTTCTCAGGCCGCTCACAGATCCACGCTTCACCTGTTCCCAGACTTCTTCCGCAAGAGGATCTCTTGGCTCCGGGATCGCAACGCCCTCGATGAGGTACTCTACTGCTGCGTCACCTTGCGGAACTGGTAACCACTGCAGCTCCACCCAGTTGGAACCCACCCCTCCGGTGTTCACGGCGAGTGGGGCTCCACGGGGCCCTGTTGACAACAAACGGTGATGTTTCAGTCAGTTGATCACATGTAGTTCTCTACAATTTTGAGGTTTACATGTCAAATATAAGAAACCACCGTCTCATCATCAAGAGGCTACTCAGTTTCATCTTTTTGCACGGTTTTCAATGCATGGATAGCGTCATATGAGCTGAGACAAACATTCTATATTGAAACATACCTGTTCTTATCTTTCTGCCATTACTAAGAAATGAGAAGAAACCGAATTTACATGATTTTCTTAATTGTAGTTACTTGAAGATGTACATATGTAACGTTATCTGTATACCATCCTTTTACTGTGACCTGTACTTAACCCAGTGGGTATGTGTGTACAAGGTCTTCATTCATATGCAACGAAGGCAACTGTTTGATCATCTTTGTGATGTTCATGTCTAAAGGAACCGAATTTATGCCGTTGGTTGCAATGTCGTTAAAAAACTGTAAGAAGTTCAAAACTACAGACTTCGATGCGAAGGTCAACATAGCAAGGAAGTAGTAGCTGTCCTTATGTTTCAAACTCAAAATTGCAGAGAAACTTGTCTTGGTTACTGTCGTAGCCATCCCTCTACCCATGTAGTCAGTGATAGATCTGGTAGTTTACGTTAGCCGAATTTACGGCGTACTTATGTAGTGCAAGCTCCCTGTTTAAGGTACCGTGGCAGATTGTATCAGCCCTCAACTAACAGAAATGGTTCATGAATTCCACACTTCCCATAATGCCTAGTAAAGATCACGGATATGAAGCGGATATACGCAATGCGACCGTGCGAGTAGGAGAGTCTTCAGTAGAACGATAGAAGGTACGTCATTTTCTCTAATTCGAACAAACATGTAGTTATGGCATGCGCTTATACTAGACAAATAATTCAAAACAATATAGTTGACCAGTTTGTCGATACAACTTGTTGGAAATATTACATCGAGGAAGGGGGAGGTCATACGTCATATCCGTGATCTTTAGTAGGCATTATGGGAAGTGTGAAAGTCATTAATATAACTATGTAAGTATTATATATTAACGCTTAGCTTGTTTCCGTACCTTTGACAGTGACTGTACATGATGCCTGGACAGTCAGACCACCTGATTCAGCTGAACAGGTGTAAGTACCTGACAGACTGGGATCCGCGTTCTTAATGATCAGGTCACCGTTCGAGCCCTGTGGAAAAGGAAATATTGTATTGAGAAGAATGGTGTCCTCTAAATTGGATTGTGAGCAGAGATTTTTTGTATATACCACTGTGACAACACGAAAGATTTGAAAGTTTAAGATATCGGTGCATGTTAATCAAGAAATCTGCAACACTATTATCATGCAAAGAATTACGTCGATAAAAGTTAGACATCCGGATGATGGTTACTCAAGAAAATGGTAACTCAAGTAACGTACTGGATAGATCTAGAAATGTATCCAGTAACTATTTTCTTACATGTACATACTTAAAAATTAACAAACATAAAATCATGACCACTAGAATAAAGTGGATCCTCTACAGTTTTGGAACATTGTTTGAAACTCTCTGCGGGTCTGTGGGGTCGTGTGGCGTAGCAGCAGCGTTCTCGACTCGGAACCAGAGGCCCCTTCGAGTCCTGACATGCCACTGATTTTGTGCCCTTGGGAAAGGCACTTTACTTTACGACTTTCCTCACTTCGCTCAGGTGTAAATGAGTATTGTACTGTCCCTGTGTTGGTGGCGGCATTAATATAGGTTGAAAAAACTTTAGTGTGCCGTCACCACGTCTTATGATTACATGTTTCGGAATAGAAAAAACTCTCTGCGCCCTCTAAATCGTCTGCTATCAACAACAGCCAACATCTAGATGATGTGCTTACCCTCTCATAGTACTGTGTGCTGTCGTTCACCTCCAGTCTTCTGCCGTTGACCAGCCAGGTGTAGGTGACGTCCAGACGGCGGTCCGTCCGTGCCGTACACCGGAGAGTCTTCAGTCCTCCCGCGTCAACTGTCGTATCGGACGGGCTGGTCGTGATGACCGTGGCCTCTGCAGTGGTGCAAGCATAGAAACAAATTTTAGTTTTCCGATGGCTGAACAGTCAAGGCGTAACAAACCAAGACCAACTTTGTAGTTCTAAAGGACACAAAAGTTAGACAAATTCGAGTTAAAGTTTTACATATTTGTTCAAACTTACGGGCAACTCTGACTTCCCCCGTCGAACTTGCAGAGCCCAGATCGTTGAGAACGGAGACTGTGTACAGTCCGGCATCGTTCATGGATATATCATTGATCTCAAGATACCCGTCACTCGTTATGTTATACCTGAAAGACAAAATAGATTTCAAGAGTCTCGATGTTAGAGACAGATTTGAATTTATCTTTACATGTAATGGTCCCCACAACGCAAAAATAAGTAGATATATAAAGGAATGCTTTGTTATTAGAAAACAATTCCGAAACTTGTGATTAGCCCACTCGAATGTAACACTTTATCAAATACTTGTGCTATCCCTTATCTTTTTAATAATTATGATATAGATTTGTTAGGTTTTATTTGACATTAGGTATATTATATTGTTTGTTCATTTCTTTATGTAGTTTGCCATACATTGTACCATGTGCAATTGTCGTGCAATAAAGTTCTTCTTCATAAGGCCTACAGAAACGGAGATGGGCACCATATGTAGGAAACAACTTTGGCTTTGACTGCGAATCCTATAAAAACTGCCAATGTACACAATACTTTTCTGAAAAAAGTACATTATTCTTAGAAATCTCCAAAGTTTATTCAAGTTTTCAACACTAGACTGATCAACAAAAAACTTCGTCCAACCATTATCTACCAAAACGTTGGGCAATCCATCTTCCTTAGCATGGGGTGAAAGACTTAAACCCCTTAAATAGTTTAAGTAGACATAATTTAGGATAGTTATCATTTCTTTAATTCATTTTTATTACATAATTCATTTCTGTGTCAAGTATACAGACATTTTATACAAGTGCTGTTTTGTTTTGTGTTGTTTGTTTTGCTTACAATTGGTCTCTGGGCATAGTCTTGCAATAAAGGTATCATAAAAGCTATACATGAGGTGCAACTTTATGTACATATAAAAGAGCCAATACAATATGTCGTTCTTGCAGTGCAACGTTTTGTAACTGCTTCTTGCATACTCCTTTAGGCCTCGTTCATGATTGAAAGTGTTCCGGTTTGGCCACGATCCGAATCAAAACGGAATATATTTTGCATCCGTGATTCAAAACTTGCACCCACAGTGGAAACGGTTTTACACCTCGAATTGACTTGCATTTCATATGTATATCACAATTTCTTTGAACATTTCCTGGGAACCCGGCTCGTAAGGCGGAGAGTTTACGCCTGTTCGGGCGAGTGGTCGCTCGTTCCCGACTCATGTCCTCCCCATAGGCTGTGCCCCGGACGCATCTGGCGCAAATTCCCACGGTCCGCCGCCCCAACGCCCCCGTTGGGCTACCACTCGCCCTCACGCCCAGAGTAGGTTCTAGTGCACCCACCATCCAGTTTCCTCTGATTAATCACACCATCATCCTGTGGCTACTGCCACCAATATAGATACTCAGTACTGAATCTTAATGTTAATCCAGATTGTACTCACTTGCTGCCTTGCTGTACGCTCGAGGT